CTGGGTTTCCCGAACAAAACCTGCTCCCAACCAGGTTAGGTTCACAGAGTAAGTTGCCATAGTAACTGACTCTGAGTTTAGATTACCTCTCTTTTTGAAACGGGTTTAACTTACCCCGCTTTCACGGGTTTAAGTTACCTCCGTTTCTGGAACCGAAAACTCAGAGTTTTCCTCATTTCGGGGTTAACAAACTCAGAGTTTCAACAAAACCTCCTTCTTGATACGGGCCCCTGGTTAAAGTCGCCTGCAGCGATAAATACTGCATCGGGGTGAGCTGTCTCTAGCCCAGTGATGACATCATAGAGTTTACTGAGAGCTGCTGAGGGATTAGCTCTTGGGCTAACATACACAGCAGCCAGAAACACAGCACTACTCTCTCTTGTTAGTTAATGGGGCCGGCATTTCAGCAATAAAAACTCTATGACTGGCAAACAGTGCTTATAAACAGTCCGTACATCTCCACACCACGAGTTATTGATAAACACACACACACACACACACACACACACACACAACCTCCTTTTACCTTCCCAGAAGCAGCAGTGTGGTCACCTCGATGTACAGAGTGAAACTAAACCTTAGCCACAAACCCATCATGACTCCAGGGAAAACAAATCAGTTTTATTTTCCTATAGTACAGGTCCTGCACAGCACAGATGCAGTAATAAAACAGCTGTTACTGTTGTAGTGGTTCAGCTAATCACAATCACCAGATCTGCTTCCATAGTCTTGAAAATAGCTGGAACTTGGATTTTTTACCACTGCCTGAGCAGAGCCCAAACTTTTTTCTCCACAGCTCATCCCTACAACAGGTGGAGAACCACGGGAACAGAAACTGAATACACAACAACAGATGCACATTATGTTATGTTTAGTTTTGCAGTGGAAAAGGTCTACTGTCACAGGGTAAGTCTGTTCCATCAGCCCAGACTGGACCACAAAAACAATTGAGCTGTTTACCCGTATGTTTACCCCTACTAGACTACTCTAGTAGGGGTAATTCTGGTTGCAGACAAAACTAGACTACTCTAGTAGGGGTAATTCTGTGCTATGTTACATTTTGCTGTCTTGGTCACTGTAGCTCTGGTTCCTGTTCTATGAGGACTCACCTTCCAGGCTTTCCTGGGCGCCCGAGGACAGGTTCCCCGACTGGAGCTGGTCATGGAGGAACTGGATGATGGAGAAGGCGAGACGCTTGTGGTCTGTCATGGTGATGGACGCTCAGACCTCTCTGTGCTCACTGAGGGAGAGAGACCCTGCAAACAACAGCAACAACTGGTTAGCCACGTTGTCATGTCACACAGCTGCCTAACGCAGAGTTACTTATTACTTCTAAACAAATCAGATGTACCTCCCTCCCACCGCAGTATCACTGACAGACTGCTGTTACCCTAAGCTTAACCACCTTTAGCTTTGGCTTGTAGAATATTCTAGCACTCGGCATGACTGTCTTAGTAATGCAAACAGCTGCCAGCGAAGGATAACATGCCTTGTATATGAATCATGATAAACAGGCTGACGATAACAACGGATAACCAGCAAATAGCTAGCTAACATATGATGTGCGGGTCAAAGCTAACGTTAAGTGACATTTTATACCACTGAAGCTCACGTCACTCCGAATTTCAATTCATTGTCCGTAATCAAAGCTTTATCTCAAATTAGCCTGTTAGCATGCCAACAAAAGCAAAAACCTGCACACTTGGTCACGTTTACAAACCGTAAATTGTAGAGTTAACAGTTTACAAAACTCCAGCTATAATTCCGCCGATTTAACGCAGTCTTTCATATCCTGGACATTAACTGTGTGTTAGATTTCATAGTATAGCTAAAACGCGAACATGTTTTAGTAAAATTCGAAATACTCAAAGCATGAAGACTCAACTCAACAGAACATAAACAACTGATTTCTTATTGTTTCTGGAAGTTCGGTTTACTGCATCGAATAACATATTTATCATAACAACGGGCGAACACGCTATTAACATTATTAATTTGAATAAAACTAAGCTAATCAGTTAGCGCTATATCCCTGAGCTCAATAGTAGCTTTCGAGGGGCGTGAAGCCTCTTTTCCCCGTAACTTAATCTGCTAACACTTACCCTGACCTTTCCCCAGCCAGTTACCTCGGCCTACTCCTCAGACTTGGTATCTAACGTTAACCAATACAAATTTTCCTTGGTGTATGAAGTATATGCCTAATTAAAGTGTGGTTCTTAACTTTAGATCTAACTGGAGGAGGGCTAAACTTGCTAGCTACGCCATGTTGCATTACCACAATTTTGAAAGCCGCCTAGCGTGACGTGTTCTCCAAACCACAACGGCACGGTGCTAACGGCTATCTATGCATCTATCTAATAACAATCATTGCCACGATGCTGTCGTGTACGTGAAACGGTCATGCTGCGAAATCTAACACGATAACACAGTAACATGTTTTCCTACCAACTGTTTCTGCGTTTCAGGTGTGAATTATCCCGGTACCGGAAAGATGACATTAATTAGCCGAGCTCATTCGAGCACTCAGAACCATTTCTATGCTAACCAACTAGCTTGTCGCGGATTTATGTTGTCATTCGAAGGCGCCATGATGTGGCATCAAACATGAAGCAAAACAACAAAAACCTGAACATACCGGAAATAGGGCAAACTCGCGCCTTCAGAATAAGATATATAGATCGACAAATCCTAATGAAAACTTTTGTGAGATGTTTTAATGTGATATACTATGATTAAATATAAAGTACTGTATTATAACATAAGCATTGTATATTACGGTATATACTGTGGCGACCCTGACCGGCCGCTGATGTTCGTGTGTTCTGTTGTGTGCAAATGGGTTTGACACTGTTGTTGAAAGCTGTTCATGTATTGGTTACCGCTGTTTTCTAGCAAAATGCTGCGCTGTTCTGGCCAATGTGGGATGGGGGGACGAACAGGTGCGGGAGGAGATAAGAGGAATGACAGGTGGGCGTGTTGTTTGGGTTCTGTTGGCGGGCGATGGTGAAGTTCGGGAAGAGATCTGTAATGTTCTGTTTTGTTACTTTTTCCAGTGAGCACACAGTGCTGCGTTTTACAACCCTTTTCTTTCGTGTTTTTGTACGCCTGAAGCCAAGAAAAGACAGAGACGGTGTTCTCCTCATTGTCAGTCTAGGTGCCAGCACACAGCTGGATAGTAGTTGCACAGTTAGGTTAGGATCGGACCAGCTCTCATCAACCCAGCCAGCGGTCGTCACAATACATACTTAACATAGGTGGCCAGCCTCTATTTAATATAATAAAAATAAGAAAACGAAAAAAGTAGGCTATAATCAGATGTATTCTTGAAGAGTGATATTTGAATCTGGCCACTAAATCCAGGCCATTTTGAAGTTCTTACAAACGTTATTGCTACAAAGCTAAACAGCATCGGAAAACGTTAAGACATGTTTAGTTAGTTACAGTTTGTTGTAAAAATCTTTTATATTTTTTTTTGATAACAAGGCGCTTTTCTTTACATTTTCTTTTTCATTAATCTCTAAAAGTGTTCGATGTTAGATTAATTTTATTTGTGTTAATCCCACGTACAAATTATAAACGAGTAGCCTACAATTAAAACCTGTCCATACAAGATGGGAAAACAGTATACGAACAGGTGTACTAAAAATCTGTATATATACAACAAATTCGTGCAGATTCTCAGTCATCCAGGTCATAGTAAGCTGAAAAAAATTAGAAAACTGATGAAGCCTCTTGGATGAGAAGTGAAACGTCTGACCTAAAAAACCTAGTCCAGTTGATTTTTCAGTATACAACAAATATAAAAAAATTCCAATATTTAAAGCAGAAAATTGAGCAAACACATTTAACTAAAAATAATGAAAAAAACAACTACAATATGCATATGAAATAAATAGATGTAAATTAAAAAAGGCAAAATAAACATATTAAAATGTAATAAATGTCCTTAATAAAGACCTTCGGGTGGCTCAGCTCAATTCGGACTTTATTTAGAAAAACGTGAGCAGAACTGTCTTTGTAGATGCTTTAACCGTCTATTATCGTTCCACACTCCAGCCCGGCAGGTGGCGGTAATGCACCTTAGGTTGGCGACGAAGAAGAAGAAGAGGACGCGGAGATGATGATGATGATTTAACAGTGATTCACAGCGCTTTGACAGTGACTCACACGGACCTAACGAACCTTCCTTTTTTTAAAGCATGGGGCCGACAGGTGAGTAATGTTTTAAATTTTAACTAAACCAGCAATATGAGTTAATGTTATATTTGCATTCGGCAGCTTCCCTCCCTATTTGTTGCTCACTCTTTTAGTGTGAATTATCTTTAACGTGAGAGTTAACGTAAGTTAGCTGCTGTGTTCCAGGCTAATGGATAATTAAAAATTCTGCAGAACAATAATTTCATTTTAGTGCATAAACCGCTTAATAAAGTCTGTGTGTATGCTAATATTGTGGCTTGTTTCTTCACAGTACTGGCTTAGTTTTTTGGTTTTACTTCAGCCTTTTTAGTTTAACTTAGCATGTTAGCTCAATGTGCTTATTCACTGAGCTAAGTGTCGAACAATTTGCTTTGTAACAGTAGACCTTCAGTTTCACCATCCGACACAGGGGGTGAATTACATATGGATTAACGTTACCAGTTAGAGTCCTGACGAAGCTTTCCGTCAGCTGTGGCCCAGGAGGTAGAGCGGGTGGTCTAGTAGCGGGAAGATTAGCGGTTCGCTTCCAAGATTGTCTGGCCTACATGTCGAAGTGTCCTTGAGCAAGACGCTGCATCTCCAGTTGCTCCTGGTGATGACGCCGTTGCTTCTAACGTAAATCAGTTTTTTCTCTCACCCCTAGTTTCCAAATGTATTAATGAATTAGGCATAATGTTACTGCTGAGACATCAAAACACTTTTTTGCTCTAATTACCACTTTCTCTGAGTTCTTAAAAGTGTTGGGAGACTAGCTGTGATTTTAATTTTGTACACGGGGCCCTTTTTATTTACAGCTTTATTTATAGCAATATCCTAGAAATGAATGTAAGTAAGTAAGTACATTTTATTTATATAGCACCTTTCACAGACAAGGTCACAAAGTGCTTTATAAAGTCAAAAGATAAAAAGAGATAATATACATAAGCCTAAAAAGTACTCGCATAGCACAACACAATTTATAAAATGAATAAACCCAATCAATTAAAAAACTGTCTAAATAAATGTGACTTCAGCTGTTTTTTAAAATCATCAATAGATTCAGTCATACTACGGAGCTACGACCTGAAAAGACAGGTCCCCCGAGATTTAAAATGAGTTTTGGGGACCACCAAAAGAGGTTGGTTTACAGAACGAAGAGTACGTTTTGGGGGAGTATGGGGTCAACAGATTGATAATGTACTGAGGCACCTGCCCATCCATCCATCCATCCATTTTCTTCCGCTTATCCGGGGCCGGGTCGCGGGGGCAGCAGTCTAAGCAAAGATGCCCAGACTTCCCTCTCCCCAGACACTTCCTCCAGCTCCTCCGGGGGAATGCTGAGGCGTTCCCAGGCCAGCCGAGAGACATAGTCCCTCCAG